CTTCCCAGATTACTTACCGTACAGAGACGAGCGCTGCTGTGTCTAAGGAACATGCTGGCAGTTCTGGATGGAGAAGGGATGGACGAGGCTGGGCTGGTGCAGGTCGGGAACCACCTCATGGGGCTGTTCTCAGGTAAAGCTGACAGTTCATCTTCCCAACCACTAACACTGGTAGCAGGCTACTCTACAGGTTTTTGTCGACGTGTTATTTGGGATTTTTATCAAGCTTTCTTTCTGTACTGATATGTTTTTTTACCAGCCAAACGGTAGCATCTTTGATATTGCCCTGCCAATTTTATGCTGTCTTGTACATGTATGTAGGCACCAAAAGATCTGCTCAAAGCTGTAGCAATCTGCATATATGCCAGACTGGGTATATTCTGTCAGTGTCAGAATTCCTATAGATTTGAAATCTGAAACATTTTGCTGAACATTGAGAGGTGTATTTCAGGGAAACTAAAATACTATAGATTTCATGGCTCTGTTTTCTGTTGACCAAAAGATTACATTAGCTAACAAATCTGGAACAGTAAACCATTCTTCCTGCCTGCCCATTTACTGGTGATCAGGCCAGAAGTGTACATATGTTTGTGCTGGTGTGTGCTATGTGTGCATGTACATGTATATGTGTATGTAAATGTACATGTATCTGAGGTCACCCATTTTTCCCATCTGCCCAGTTTCCAGTGATCAGGCCAGATGTGTACATGAATGTTTGTGCTGGTGTATGCTGTGTGTGTATGTACATGTATTATATATATATATATGTGTGTATATAATGAGGTCACCCATTTTCCCGCCTGTCCAGTGTCCAGTGATCAGGAGTTCCAGGAAGCCGTGACAGGAGCGATCCGATCTCTTCTGCAGAGGATGGCAGCTGTACAGGTCACACAGGTGAGTCAAGGTCACTCAGGTGTGTACAGGACACACAGGTGAGTCAAGGTCACACAGGTGTGTCATGGTCACACAGGTGTGTCAAGGACACACAGGTGAGTCAAGGTCACACAAGTGTGTCAAGGTCACTCAGGTGTGTCAAGGTCACTCAGGTGTGTACAGGTCACACAGGTGAGATACGGAACAGTACTGTTACATTAAATTTTGTAATTTTATACTGACACAGTATCATGTTGTGGGAGTGCTTTCCTCCTGTCTTCTCCATCTTCACTCATCCTGCCCCCTCCCCACCCACAGCCGCTGTCCAGGGAACAGCTGTGTGTCCTGTGTGACCTTGGGCGACAGTCGCTGTGCCCGAGTGTGCGAGCTAACGTGGTGAATGCTGCCGGCAGTATGGGCAGCGTGCTGGCCAAGCAACCCGACTCGAGAGAGAAACTCAAGGTGAGTTTTCTGTATCTGTATAGCCAGTATAACCACGCATGTAGGGGCAGCTGGCTACATTACACCGAACAACTAGTTACACTCAGTCTTTGCACATTCAAATGCAGGAATTGTTTCAAGCTTTCTATTGATGCTTGGTCGAGTTCTTCCACTCTGCGATAGTTCTTGGAAAAAAACTAGTTTTTGAACACCTGAATTCTTGGTTGATATTAATTACATCACTCCTCAGATGTTCCCGATGAAGGTTGTGGGAAGGATGGGTTCATAGAGGTTAAAGGTCAGGGGTCATGTTTCTAACCTGTGATCTTCCTTCCCCAGTTGATCGGTACGTTCCTGATGGAGGTCGCGGGAAAAGACGCGGTGCTGTGGGTGGTGGCGGAGGCTCTGGACGCCATGTTTGACATGTTCGGGGACGGGCCGCAGGTGGACGCAGTGGCGGCCGACATCGGGCTGGTGGCAAAACTCCGACAGATCTGCCCCGTCTTCAAGTCAAGGGTGGGTTCTTACAGCACATCGGCAGAATGTACTGCACCAGCGCAAAACCTGTAATGTATTGTGCATAGCACTTCAGCAGAGTATCAGATTTATTCTCATATAAGGTCGTATTGATTTCGTGTATATAAGGTTACTAGTAACATCCCGTCTGTAGTTTCTTGACACTGTACATGCAATATTTGCCTTGGACCATGGTTTTGCACCCTGAGTTCAGGCCATCTTATCTGAAAACTGTGACACAAACTTCTGTTGTTTTACTGAACAGAAACTCTTCATTCCTGTTTGATTATTCGCCAGGTGCACAAGGAGAGGAGAAGTCTGGGAGAACACTTCCCTGTGGTGGATAACGCAAGGGTCAATCTCACCAGGTTCATCAAGTACAAGGAGGGCTGCTAGGGGGTCCTGAGGGATCACCGGGCATTAGGGAAGGCTGCTAGGGGGTCCTGAGGGATCACCGGGCGCAAGGGAAGGCTGCTAGGGGGTCCTGAGGGATCACTAGGCACAGGGGAAGGCTGCTAGGGGGTCCTGAGTGAGGGTACTGTCTTGGGAACTGGGACAATTTGATGGCAGATTTTATTTTATCAATATTTTAAGTTGTCAATTCATTGATTTATTCTCCAAAACAGACATGCAAGGCAGAGCTTTTGTGTCTTTTCCTACAAAAATATTTTTTGTAATTTATCTATTTTAATCATGTCTTGGGCTTGATCTGTACACCCAGTTGCCTTGGAATGAGCACTTCACTCATGAAAATGAAATTATCAGGCTTTGTGTGAACTTCAAGGGAAATTGAATCACAGTTGTTGTCATTGACTACCCCCCCTCCATGGAAGCTGTATTTGACCGTAAATACAGTGAGTTACCAGCGCAGAGCAACATACTAATACCAGGGTACTGTGAGGTGTCAGTACAGTGTAACATGTAATACTGTAAGGACTTTGTAAGATGGGAAAAACACTGTACATGTATATATATATATGAAAATGAATAAATTTAGTCCTCAAATTACACCCAGTCTGATGGTGTTATTTCTTCTATACTTGGGTCCTAGCTGTGGTGACTGTCTTATATATATATACAAGCATGTAGCTCATACAAGTCATGGAACACTGCATTGAAACAGTTAAATGTCTAATATTTTCCAAATAGTACACGATTTCTAGTGTCCCTAACTTCCTAACACTCCTTGCCTATAAAAACAAACCCAGCATCCCAAACAATGATTAGCACAAGTACATTTGGTTGCTATCAATATAGAATTTCTGTATGACTTTTTATTCTTTACAACCAAGTCAAAATAATACACTCTGCTGAAGGCTACACTTTAATCTTACCCAGTCTGGATGAGCATAATCCATACCCACAAGTGCACTTAGAAAGGACATCCTAGCTTTGCTACACATGTATGTACAATAGGGATTCCTCAATTTGAAATAGTATCCATTATGCTCTGCACCACCACAGGGAATGACTTGAAATGTACAGTCTGTAATGGCACAGCTGGCGAAGACACTTGACTAGGAACATTATCTAATTTATTTACAACAGTTTTCTAACCGACGGACCGCCATTTCTGTGTAAGTCTGTACAAAGCCTGTAGTATATATCAATGAGATTTATGTTGGAGAAATCCCGGAGATGCTGGGGCCCAGGGAAAGGCCAGTCTGGTCACAGCTATTCTAAAAACCTGCACAAGCAAACATTACCTTTACTTAGACTCCAGGTTTCGTAAGGTAAAGATATCTGGACAGTGTTAGGGGATAATTACAGCAGCAAAAATCTGAAGGCACTTCAACTTCAACTTGTAAGATTCAGTCAATAAAACTGCTTCATTATGGAAAGACTGAAAAAAAAGAGAAACAGAAACATGCCAGAGACCCACTGGCAAAGCTCACACAACTTTAAGCTACTGATTCTAACTTTTCACACTATTATATATAAACTAAAGACTTCCTAGTGCCTCCTACTCCTGTAACTCTCATGCTAACATTGCAACAAATGCCGAGGGCCAGGGATCTGGTGTTTTGAAGGGCTGAGTTTGTGGTCTAGTCCGGTATTTTGAAGTGCTGAGTTTGTATTCTAGTCCGGTATTTTGAAGCGCTGAGTTTGTGTTCTAGTCCGGTATTTTGAAGCGCTGAGTTTGTGGTTTAGTCTGGTATTTTGAAGCGCTGAGTTTGTGTTCTAGTCCGGTATTTTGAAGTGCTGAGTTTGTGTTCTAGTCCGGTATTTTGAAGCGCTGAGTTTGTGGTCTAGTCCGGTATTTTGAAGCGCGGAGTTTGTGTTCTAGTCCGGTATTTTGAAGCGCTGAGTTTGTGTTCTAGTCCGGTATTTTGAAGCGCTGTCCTCTGAGTTTGTGGTTGATGTCTGCCAGCGCTATGGAGTACAGCAGCTTCTGTTCTAACGTCAGGTTGTTGAACATTTCCTCCTCCGCATTCTTCTCTTTCTCAGCTGTACAGGGAAACACAAGGGACAGTGGTTAGGTAAGTACAAAGCACAAACTGTGTAGGGCCTGAGCCATTGTACAAAGACAACTGAGCTGTCTACTAAGTTAAGTCTTGAAGGCCATACAGCCATACTGAAATGTTCCTGCTGTTCCCATCCTTGTTCTTGCTGACCATGCCCTTGAGTGTATAGGTAAGGACAGTAAGATTTACCGCTGTTCCTGCTGGGTGCCCTTGAGTAAGGACAGTAAGACTTACCGCTGTTCCCGTCCTTGTTCTTGCTGACTGTGCCCTTGAGTAAGGACAGTAAGATTTACCGCTGTTCCTGCTGGGTGCCCTTGAGTAAGGACAGTAAGACTTACCGCTGTTCCCGTCCTTGTTCTTGCTGACCGTGCCCTTGAGTAAGGACAGTAAGACTTACCGCTGTTCCCGTCCTTGTTCTTGCTGACCGTGCCCTTGAGTGAGGACAGTAAGTCTTACCGCTGTTCCCGTCCTTGTTCTTGCTGACCGTGCCCTTCGGCCTCCCCGGCCGTTTCTTCCTGGGAGCTCCCTCCCCCTGCTCGGCTGATGTGGAGGCGGCGCTGGCCTCGCTGATGTTACTGTTGGTGTCGTCTCTGTCTGCTTCTAACGTCACCTGTGGAACAGGAGGAACAGTAAAGAACCCAGCACACGCTCCACAGGTGTGACAGTAAAGAACCCAGCACACGCTCTTACTCTTGTTCTGCTTGTGGCCATGTTGGTGTCCTACTTCAGTAAATAATTGACACCAGTGGGACACCAACATGGCCGACCATTTTGTTGCCATGACACCAGTTTGACTGACAGGAACTAACATCGGTGATTAAGGTACATTTAGCTATTGACCTCTGACCTTTTTGATGAAGCTCTCGGTGTCTGTGATACAGCTGCGGTTTGACCTTCGACGTTTGACCCTGACAGGTTTGTCCTGACCTTCCTTCCAGTCAGGGTCGGCGAGATGTTCCTCCCCCTGCCTGCTGTCCTCGGGACAGCCGTCTGGAAACAACGACAACAATCAACAACGATCGATAATAACAACAGTCAATAACAACAACCTTCTATTCCTCCCCAGGCTGCTGTCCACAGCACTGATGTCTGGAAACATAAACTGTTACAACAACAATAACAACAATAACCATTAACAAAAACATCAACCATTAACAACAACATCAACCATTAACAACAACATCAACCATTAACAACATCCATCCTCCTGTTCTTTTCCCTTCCTGCCATCTTCCTGCCAGCTGGGCGTGGGAGTAATAGTTAGTAAGCCCCTTCTTGGCTCTGACACCACAGAATCACCTTCACCAATGGTTTGCCGGAACACGATTATTGACACACTATCTAGAGTTTCTCACCTGAGGCTGCGGACAGGGGCTTGGGGTTCAAAGGTCGCTTACTCATGAAGAGGTGGCCGCAAGGACAACTTTTACAGGCAACTGGGATCTGCAGAAACACAGACATAGAGTTATAATATATCAGATGCATGTTAGTAACAGTTGGCTAGAAATTAAAGATAACCCAGTAGTTACATACCACTGTGATGTTCTCATCTCTTAAAACTTACATACTCAAGTAGTACAAACTGTCATGTTCAGAACTTAATATATCTGGTCCTTCGCAGGAAGGTTTCTGTCTACACTTCTCGATAAAGGTACACGAGCATCACATCTGCACTTATTAACCCCCCTGTGATATTTACTCTACAGGGTTAAACTGGAGGCCTGACAAGTGTCACGTAGACACCTAGAGGAAACAAAGCCTCCCATTGCACCATCAGCACATTCAGAATTACGATTGTACAGGTCACTGACCCCTAAACTGTCCCCATGTGCACCAGAAACCTGCCCCGAATCCTGGTTACCAGGAAGGATGATCTAATCTGACTTGACATTTGGAAGGTTAACCTGACATGATATTTAACCCTCTCTCCTAACCTTTCTGCCTGACACAGCCTGTAACCATCCTGACACTGACCTTCCTGTGTAATTGGGACTGTTGGTAAGTTAGAATCCACACACACAAGCCAGCCTGCCACTTGGGAACTTATGTATGCAGGTCCAGTGAACCATAGGACCCTGTACTAGGGTCTAGTGTAATCAGCCATGCTCCTAACCTCTACTGTACAACTGTGACAGGCAGGACTATAATCTATGCAGGTTGGGTGCACCAGGAGGCATGCCAGCTATGGGCACTGGGTTCCTGCCAACTTCAATGACAGTCAAATATAGCAGATACAGGACCTCAGACTGAGTGACTAACGGACGTTGGGTCACGTTCACGCGGCTGCATTTGTGTCTCCTGAATTAAAGGTAGGAAACTTTCTCTGGGATATTTTATATGCGAAGCCTGCATGCACACTTCCTGGTTCTGCCTGGTATAATGTATGCTACTGTATCACTCTGACTTCCTTCCATGGTCCCAGTGTTAGTGTACAGTAGTCAGTGTGAATATTGTATCAGTTTCCTGCCAATGTTGACTCAACCTTGTCCCTGGAATGTTTGTATTGTCCCAGCTGAGTTACCATGCTGGCCAGATAACACAGAAATCAGGCCGATGCTTTATTTGTATCCTAACCAGATTATGTTATCAGTGGAGGCAGATGGCTACATTGCTGATTTCCGAGGGGCGATTAAATTCAGAATCTTGTCCTGTGCCTGAACAGGCATGTTTCTGGATAATCGTGGATATATCACAGTTCTGGATACAACTGGGACTCTGACACATAACACAGGAGTCTAGGACAGGACATGGCTATCTATAATAATAATCCACAACATGTTGTAGTCACACAGTGACTGTTCTTCCAAACTTGTGCTGATGTTGTGTACAGTCATACATTCTCAATTATAAGTCTTAACTATAGATTTTAACCATAGGTATCAAGTGTAGCTCTCAGCAATTATACAACTTTGATGTGCTGAACATTGATTTCCACTTGGATATTGAGGGAAAAGAGAAAAGACTACTGGCATTCCTTACCAGGCCTTTATTGCTTCTGCCAGTCAATATCCAAAGCCAGGAAACTCCTCCTGCATTCCTAAGCAGGCTCTTATCCTAAAACATGCTACATAGTGAGAGATAGCCACCCAGGCTACTACATGCTACATTTGTACATAGTGAGAGATAGCCACTAACACTATGTACAGAGCTGATTAGTAGTGCACGAGGAAGCAGCCAGTGTTGCTGTTGTGCACACTGCGGAGTTAATCAGGCTACATGATACCCTGGTTATTGTAACTGGGCGTGCATTCTTCCGCCTGACAAAGGGAAGGTCATTCAAGGTCATCCGGCGTTCGTGACGCATTACTGGTGCACCAGTAGTCATAAAGGTCGCTCAAGTACAGCGGTCGTAAACTCAGACTGGTCTCACAGGTTGTTAGAGGGTCCTTCACCCCTTGCACAACTGTTCCACTACTACACAGCGACAGACCTTAGGGAGGAAGCTTAGGCACCCCCTGTCCTGACACAGAGACTGCCTACAGCTGCAGTGTTACACAGGAAGGTAAGACAACCTGTACAGGTGCAGCTGATTTACCTGGTTATGTACTTGTGTTGGAAACAAGCTTTCACGTCACTTAGACTTCTGTGGACTGGGGTGGATCCCAAGGATACAATCATAAAATTCAATTCTGCAGTTTTTTGCCTGTTTTCCCTGACATGTCTCAATGGTTGGAGTCATGGCAACCAAAGACCTCCCTACTGAAGCTCTAGCTTTCTCCAGACCACAGTGGACAGAACAACCTGTTACCATGGAGATAGGTTGCAGTAGAACGTGTTACCATGGAGATAGGTTGCCAGGCAGGGTACACATGTAAAGAATAGTTACATAGACTGAGTAACAAATTCTGGCCAAACATTACTACATTTGTATTTTGTATTGCTAAAAGATGGGACATTTTAACCAAATCACCGTAAAAACACTGTGTGAAATTTCCATGCAGACTGGGCTAAACCAAATCAATAACCTCTGTGAGGAATAAACAACACTGGTTTTTATGTTCTTTACGGGTCACTGATAACCACAGGTGTGAAGTCCTTACTCACAATCAGACTGGTTACAGACGGACGAGGACTTTACAGGTTTGTTGATTGTTAAACCTTGTCTAATGACTTCTATAATGATCCACAGGACTAAGGAAACCACTCTTATTGTTAGTAGCCTAGAGTCCAGGCTTGTTAGGTCCCCAAGATCCACTACCATGCCAAGATAAGTTCTCCTGTAAACCGTTTACAGTAGAACTACTAAACCTTCATCCAGGAATGGAATAACACGTCCGTGGGCACCACAATCCCAGATTTCTAACCAGTCTTGTAACAAAATCTACTGGCAGTGGGTCAGTGTACATTTAGTAACTTTAGATAAAGCTAACAATTCTGATAACTGTCCGGTAGAAGGAAAACTAGTCCGTTAGAGTTACCCACCTGCTGGCTAACCCGTACCTCCCACACCTGTCCACCATCCACACACCTGTAATGTTACCTGCACAGGTATGTTCACGTGATGTTGACTTTAGCCTGTAACCGGATACCCCTGTGACACCGCAGGAGGTCAGGTCAGGGAGGGTCAGGGTTCGGTGTCTGACATTATGTGGTCTTCACTATACAACATGGACCTACTCTGCCTGACGTTATAAACTATAGCTACTAGCACAGCGCTGCTCTAATTCATGCAGTATAAACTATAAATATTCACTGGGCTTAACTCTAGATCAACTTTATAAACGGTAAAGAAAAAGGGTTAAAAATAAATAATAAATCACTGGAAAAAAATTATATTACCCAGTTGCTCGCTAGCAGAATCACAGACAGCCAGACTCGACTGTAAATAATTTGTACACAAATCAAGGATAATAGTAGATAATTTACGTCCTCAGTAGAAATTATAAGAGTTGAGTTGTGGCGCTGCTTGCTGTCACAGGACGCGAATAATTTTTGTTTTTGTGGTGCTTACCTGCTGCGCACATGCCGGACATTGCTTCATGACCATGTCTAGTGGGTGGAGACTGATCTAGAACCAAACACGCTGCCGGGAAGGCCGCTCCCTTATCACAAATCTATCCTCCGTCTCCCCACAACAGAAACACACACATTCACTCCGGATCTGTCAGGGTGCAATGACCTCACTAAACCAAGATGGCGGCTGGAAAACAAAGTCACGTGACTCAAAATTAAGTAAACTTTTTCCCCTTGGAAGTTTGCTTTTTCCCCTGACGTTATTAAACTGATGAATAGCCTTACATGTTTTCCGGCATCTTGTATTTAATATACAATGAATCCATTACAGGTCGTGTCATAAAATAACCTTGACTTTGGGGTCAAAGTAGGTCTAGACTAGTCCATAAAGTTAATTGGAGGTAATACGGGATATTATACATTATATGTAACCTTAACATTTATAGTATATGATTATTAAAGCAAAGGTGTTGTACTAAACAAGGAGTTTTAAAGGCCAACACAATGTTGTATAGTTTGTATCAAACACCAGTCAGTGTAAAATTTTACAAGGTAAAAAAAGGTCACCCCCACGAAGTGTGGTGAGTTAGACTCGGCCACCCCTCGGACCGCCCCACCAGTTACAGCCAGCTACGCAGCGTTTGCTGAGGTAGCAACTTAATTCCCAGCCCTTAAGACGGTCTCCAGGGCATCGCTAAGGAACCTTCTCCGCGTCTTGCCGAAGTATGCTGTCACGGTTCATGTCTGGGTGAGTTAGCGGGCGTTCGGAGGTGGCAGTTTTCCTCGATGACATATATACAGGCCCGGCGATCCGCCTACTTTTCACTGGGTATGGGGAGGGGGGCGAGGTGTATGTGTTTATATAACATGTCAGACTAGTATTTGCGATCTGGTAGAATATTCACTGACTTTGGCAGGTAAAGATCCCGACAGGCGTCACTATCGACAGAAACTCCGATCAAGATGCTATGCTATGCTATGCTAAGAATTAACCAGCAGAATTCGGCAGTAGAGGTCTTGATCGAAGTCTGTAATTAATTAGGATATTCTTTTAAACTTTGACTAAATTATGTTACTTTAGATCAGTGAATTGACTTGAAACTTAGGGTTTATGTATTTGGAAACCACCTCAACACATCCATAGCATCTTGGTCGGAATCCTTGTCAATAGAGATTGTGGATCGGGACCATACCAGGAGAATGGGTCAAATCACAATTATCTGTCTGTAGGAATTCCTCGGTCTCCTAAAGACCCTGACATATATCAAATACGTACGGATGGTTGTGGGAACCTTGTAGATGTCCTGTGGTTGACAAGGTTGAAGGTTTCCCATGGACCTGATGACGTTTTTCACAGATATATAATTTGCCAGACTGTCCAGTCCAGTTCAATTGAAAACAGACGATTTTGTTTACATTAGATTACTGAGTGTTCAATGGTAAACCCATGATGTTGTGATGAAAATAACTTGAGATTAATAAAAGTTAGTGGAACCGGATTGTGTTGATGTTGTTCCCACACAGACCCCATCCAGCCAAGCGCAGACTGGTGGCCATGTCGTCACATCTGGGGAACGGGCCACTGTGTTAGTGTGTGCATTAGCTGTTCGTTAGTATGTTCGTTAGCTGTTCATTAGTGTGTTTGTTAGTGTGTTCGTTAGTATGTTCGTTAGTTGTTCGTTAGTGTGTTCGTTTAGTGTATTAAGTGATGTTGTCATTCCCACACAGACCACACTCAGCCAAGCGCAGACTGGTGGCCATGTCATCTCGGGAGCGGCCGGCTGTGTTTGTGTGTTAGTGATAGTTGATGTTGTTTATGTTGATGTTGTTTATGTTGATGTTGTTTATGTTTGTGTTGTTGTTTTGATGCAGACCCCACCCAGCCAAGCGCAGACTGGTGGCCATGTCGTCACATCTGGGGAACGGCCCGCAGAACGGAGGTCCCACCGGGCCAGCCGGACAGACCAGGGCCAAGGTGGGAAATACAAGTTTGTTGTTTGTAACTGTGTTTTACATGTAATGTTAACTTGTTTGCATTCATCTTGTAATATCCACCGGTATTACAAAACTGCACCTATTGTTAAAATGACAATATTTTTACCATTGTAACTGTTTTTATCAAATTGTGATTACCGGTATTGTAAATTTGGTGTTAATGCAGTGTTACATGCTGTGAATAAAGCCTGTATCTTGTATCTCTTGCCATTGGAACTGATTGTGATGTAAATTCAGTGTTGAGCACCAATACCAACACCAAAAGTGCTTGTATCCTGTCGCCAGGTGCTGACGATCGACTCCATGAACCCGCTGGTGAAAAAGGTGGAGTACGCCGTCCGCGGGCCCATCGTTGCCAGGGCAACGGAGCTTGAGAAGGAACTGGAAAAGGTGAGTTTCAGGGAGGACTGGAGATTCCATATTTGGTCATGTTCACAGTCAAGATCACCAGATCTGCCATTATTATCATTCTTCTCACAAGCCTGGCACTGGCCCCAGTGCAGCTTCCAGGAGCATCAATCAATACCCAATATCCCATCAACATGCACTAACATGAGATGGATACAGAAACAGGAGTGTTGAACAGCCCCTGTGCAGAAAACTGTCCAACCTGTAACTGTGCCGAGTTGGTCATTGTGCTGTATCCGGGGTGGGGATGTGCCTACATGGTCACTTATTGTTTAACAGCTAGTGTAAGTGTTTACCTGTGTTAAACACACCTGCCATGGAACTGTATTTTAGTCTGAGTATTAAATATTCTAGTCTGAATAATACTTAGACCTTTCCCTGAACTGCACCAAATGTGTTTATAGTTATGATTTGTTATAGTCTCATATGGTCTGACTGATTTGTTTATAATCGTGAATTTATGTCCTCTCCAGGGAGTTCCCAAACCCTTCAAGCAGGTCATCAAAGCCAACATCGGAGATGCTCATGCCATGGGGCAGAAACCTATCACCTTCCTCAGACAGGTGGGATGTTATATGTGTGTGTGTGAGTGCGTGTGTGTGTGTGTGTGCGCGTGTGTGTGTGTGTGTGTGTGTGACTGTGTGTGTGTGTGTGTGTGTCCTGAACCTATGCATGAACCCTGACCTGTTGTTTTGACCTCCAGGTCATCAGCCTGTGTGTGAACCCTGACCTGTTGGACAACGAGAGTTTCCCCGCAGACGCCAGGGAGCGCGCTCGGAGGATCCTACAGGGGTGCAAGGGAGGAAGTTTAGGTAAGGACACAGGAATGTCAGTATGGAGATTGTCCAAAAATTCAAACATAGAAAGCTGCCTGCTTACAGTGGTTGCATCAAACAACAATTTGTTGTCCATGGAGACTTGATAATGTTCATGTATCTATTGAAGTTCTATGGGAGTACCAGTGGTGCACTGAAGACCTACCACAGTACCAGCATTACCTGTAACCTGTCCCTGCTTGTGCCCATCCCCCCCCAGACGATGTCATGGCCGTCCCTCTGCAGTCTCTGATAGAGTCACATGGAATCGGTAGCTCCTCCCACAATACACACACTTCTGACGGCCAAACCAGCTGCATTCTGTGCTTCTTGGAGTTTGTAGCAGGAGACGTATATGCAAAGCTTCAGTACATATTTCCAGCTAATTTATGGAAAGTCATAATTATTAAACTTTCATAATTCTCCTCTTCCTTAAGAAAAAAAACAAGAACCACAGAATGGAATTGTTTGGGCCCAATGGTGACAGTACATGATCGGTGATGTAACAGGAAAATTTGCCATTCTGATTCAAAGGTTCAGGAGGGTGTGGGGTCATCTCAGGTTCCTACAGTGACAGCGTGGGTGTTTATGTCCTATCCCAGGTTCCTACAGTGACAGCGTGGGTGTTTATTCCTAACCCAGGTTCCTACAGTGACAGCGTAGGTGTTTATGTCCTAACCCAGGTTCCTACAGTGACAGCGTGGGTGTTTTATTTCCTATCCCAGGTTCCTACAGTGACAGCGTGGGTGTGTTTATGTCCTAACCCAGGTTCCTACAGTGACAGCATGGGTGTTTTATTTCCTAACCCAGGTTCCTACAGTGACAGCGTGGGTGTTTATGTCCTATCCCAGGTTCCTACAGTGACAGCGTGGGTGTTTTATTTCCTATCCCAGGTTCCTACAGTGACAGCGTGGGTGTTTTATTTCCTAACCCAGGTTCCTACAGTGACAGCGTGGGTGTGTTTATGTCCTAACCCAGGTTCCTACAGTGACAGTGTGGGTGTTTTATTTCCTATCCCAGGTTCCTACAGTGACAGCGTGGGTGTGGAGGTGATTAGGAAGGACATAGCTGCGTACATTGAGAGAAGGGACGGTTTCCCGTCCGACCCGGATAACATTTTCCTGTCCACGGGAGCCAGCGATGCGATCAAGGTACGTGGTCTGTGGCGGCTGTAAACAGTTGAAACTTTGTTTAGAAACCAGTATTTTAGAAAAGCTTTCAAAATTGTTCTTGTAGGTTAAGTTTACTGTCTATGCATGTCATACAAAGACACTTATTTGCTACCGTTGAGCTCTTAATACATCATGTGCCTTCATGCAACAGATGTTTGATTGGAAAGTTAGTGTGTTAGTACCACTTTTGATCATTGTAGTAGTACCACAATAAAAATCAGTGTTATTCAGCTTGTATGTGCACTAGCTGCAAGACTGATTTTTATTGATAAAACTTGAAACTTGATCAGCATCAGATGTAGACACACATCTACATCACAAACTTGTTCAAACGTACGTTTGTGCAAAAAAATGTTGTCACAGATGTAGAATCTAGCCTGGTCAGTCAAATATTGGCGTTCTTGGATACGCGGAGACTATCCAGAACCGTGCCTGCTCCTAATACTAACTCACTTAAGCATAGAACTAGACAGGCATAGTTCTGGATATACCATGCATGTTCACCCTGCTGTGAATTGAAATGATTGTGTAGAACATGGTGAAGTTGCTGGTGCGAGGCGAAGGGCGGGACCAGACCGGAGTGATGATCCCCATCCCGCAGTACCCGCTCTACTCTGCAGTCGTCGCAGAGCTGAATGCAGTACAGGTACAGTCGCTAGGGGGCCTCCCCATCTACTGTTAGGCTACAATCGGCTGGGCTCGCATGACACAAGAACAGACTGTCCCTGTGCCTCTCTTATCTTTGTACAAAAGTGGCCGAAGATTCAGAAAAGGAGTAACAGTAGCAGTTCAGAAGAACCCCCCCCCCCCCACAAGGCTCAAAGGTCCACTTTTTGGTCCACTTTTTACGTAAAGATCCAAGATTTTTCTTGAAAAGATGGACTGGAATCATACAAAAACTGCTCCCTTTGTCATTGAATAAAAATTTTGAATAAAGATTTTTTTCTTGGAAATCCTCTCAAAACTGCACGAAATGCCATTTTAGAAGGTTCATTTTTCAAAATTTGAAAAAGGTCCCCTCAAGCATTGGGAAGAACCCCCCATTCAAAATCCTGGCTTCGGGCATGGAGTCTTGGTTCTGCTGTATGCGTGCCCAGCCGATTGTTATAGTGTATAACCTACAGTTGGTATAACCCATGTTTCTCCTGTACAGAACTGCCTGCACCTGTTGGTGGCCGGGTCGGGGAAGACCCGTACCGGGATCATGATCCCCATTCCCCAGTACCCACTTTACTCGGCAGCTGCCAGCCAGCTCGACGCTCACCAGGTACCCAGGGTGCCGTCACACAACTAACAACTCAGTTATCCAGCTAACATCCCTTTTTTTGCTTACTATTTTGTGATGTTCATTCAACTACTTTGATGCCTGATTTTACACTGGCGAATCCCAGTCGCTCTAACATCTCATTCTGCTTGTAGAAGCTTTCACTCCAAGCCTGAGAGATCGACTTGTTGGCTGCTGGTTTGACCTGCTCGACATGTTTTGTGCCTGTTTCACCTGTAGCAGACACGTTTTGTGCCTGACTGCGGTTTATGAGTGGAAGGAAACGTTGCAATGATTCCTGAGTCTGGACATTTCACATTTTATGATGACAATTTTGGAACAATAGATGGGAACTCTAATTGTTTGTTTCATGCATTGTGTTCATGTGAAAATAAAAGGCTGAAAGTGAGAAAATGTTTTGAGCACCACCTCTAGATTACTAGAGTGGCTGAAAGTGAGGAAAAAAATGTTTTTGATCACCACATTGAGATGTGATGGAATGCCCTTGGTTTGTCTCTGCATTCTGAATCATACATGTAGTAAATAGTAGTAATAACAAAATGCACCTGAATGTGCTGACTTGGCATTATTTTCCAGGTGAACTACTACCTGGACGAGGATAATAACTGGGCCCTGGACATCGCCGAGTTGGAACGTTCCGTGAAGGAGGCTCGGGAACACTGCACACCCCGGGTTCTGTGTGTCATCAACCCTGGCAACCCCACAGGTAAGGAGAATAACTCTTCTCATCAATCCTGGCAACCCCACAGGTAAGGAGAATACCTCTCCTCATCAGTCATGGAACCTGGCAACCCCTGTTACCTGTGTTGCTGCATTGAGTAGGGAGAATTGACCTGTGTTGTTGTAAGGAGTAGGGAGAATTGACCTGTGTTGTTGTAAGGAGTAGGGAGAATTGACCTGTGTTGTTGTAAGGAGTAGGGAGAATTGACCTGTGTTGTTGTAAGGAGTAGGGAGAATTGACATGTGCTGTTTGTGCCCCTTCAGGCCAGGTGCTGAGTAAGGAGAATGTCCAGGAAATCATCAAGTTTGCAGCCAGGGAGCACCTCTTCCTCATGGCTGATGAGGTAAGGACTGATGCTGCTGATGTAGATTTGGTGGAAGAAATGAATGATTGGTTTATTTCATCCTGAAGGTGGGTTATGTTTGCTCTGTACAAACTGTTGTTTCCTGTTGTCTCCATGCAGGTGTACCAAGACAACATCTACGCAGACGGCTGTGCTTTTAGTTCAGTACAAACTGTTGTTTCCTGTTGTCTCCATGCAGGTGTACCAAGACAACATCTACGCAGACGGCTGTGCTTTAGTTCAGTACAAAACTAGTTGTTTCCTGTTGTCTCCATGCAGGTGTACCAAGACAACATCTACGCAGACGGCTGTGCGTTCCACTCCTTTAAGAAGACGCTGATGGAGCTGGGGCCAGACTACGCCGGGCTGGAGCTCGCCTCCTTCCACTCCACATCCAAGGGCTACATGGGAGAGTGAGTCACGCCTCGCATGTCTAATGCTGTGGAAAACATGGCTGTGCTGATGTCTGTTGCCATGGTAACACAGTTGTGTAATGATGTCTGTTGCCATGGTAACATGACTGTGCTGGTGTCTGTTGTCATGGTAACATGACTGTGCTGATGTCTGTTGCCATGGTGACATGACTGTGCTGATGTCTGTTGTCATGGTAACATGACTGTGCTGATGTCTGTTGCCTATGGTAACATGACTGCTGATTTCTGTTGCTATGGTTGCACTTCTGTGTTGTCTGTTGCCATGGTAACATGCTGCTGTCAGAAATTGTGGGAATGCTGTAGTCTGTTTCCATAGAAACTCCTGATGTTTGTTGCAGGTGTTGTTTCCATGGTAACCTGATGTTTGTTGCAGGTGTGGTTTCCATGGTAACCTGATGTATGTTGCAGGTGTGGTTTCCATGGTAACCTGATGTTTGTTGCAGGTGTGGTTTCCGCGGAGGCTACATGGAGGTGATAAACATGGACCCGCAGGTCAAGCTGCAGCTGAAGAAGCTGGTGTCCACCAAGCTGTGCCCACCTGTGTCTGGACAGGTAAGCTGTGCCCACCTGTGTCTGGACAGGTGAGATACCTGTCGTCAGATGTCTTTGTGATAATAGGGTGTCCTGTCCCCAGTGTTTATGTTATAGTTAGTTGATAACCAAAGTTTAACCAGTCTACTCATGATACTGATGTTGCTTTCCAGGCGACCATGGACTGTGTGGTTAACCCTCCACAACCCGGGGAGCCTTCCTACGAGTCATTCATCAAGGTAGGTGTCTCCTGGAATGGATGATATCGATGGTGTTTCCTGGAATGGATGATGGTGTTTCCTGGAATGGATGATGGTGTTTCCTGGAATACATAATGGTTTTCCTGGAATGCATAATTTTCCTGGAATACAATAAATGGTGTGTCCTGGAATACATAATGGTGTTTTGTAGTACTGTTGTCTTACTGCCATACATTGTACTATGTACGATCGATTGTTGAGCAATAAAGTTCATTCAATGTTTCTAGAACATGAGAAGAGATTCAGAGTGATGTACTAAAAGGTTTCTTGGCAAAACTTGGATAGTGAGTTTGTATGGTAACTCAGCTGTTTGTGTTGTTCTGTAGGAGAAGACCGCCGTGCTAACGTCGCTGGCAGAACGAGCCAAGCTGGTGGCCGAGACGTTTAACTCGATCGAGGGGGTGACGTGTAACACGGTGCAGGGCGCCATGTACGCCTTTCCCAGGATACACCTGCCACAAAGGGCCGTCGACAAGGCCAAGGTCAGTAGACGTGTCTCACAAGTACAGTCAGCACACAAATAATGAGTTGGTGCTGAGTGAGTGAGGTTTAGGGGAGACATCTTAGAAAAATATAGTTTCTGTGATTCCATCATGACCACAAAAGGCCCTCTGGTTGTTCAATGATGGAGCACCATTAAAGTAAGGAAGGTTGTTCTCTTACTTTAGAATTTAAGAAGCTATTACCCTAAATGTCACCTTTGGCCTATTGTACCCTTTGACCCGTCCGTTCCCTGCAGTCCCTGGGGCAGTCGCCAGACGGCTTCTACGCTCTGCAGCTCCTGGAGCAGGCTGGGATATGTGTGGTGCCAGGCAGCGGCTTCGGCCAGAGGGACGGCACATACCACTTCAGGTGCGTGGGGGGGTTCTTTTAAATTAGTTTCCTTATTAAGCAAGGAATGGAACGTACCACTTCAGGTGGCTGGGGCTTTCCATATTAAGGAATGGAACATACCATTCAGGTCAGTGGGGGGTTTCTTTTAAATTAGTTTCCTTATTACGTAAGGAATGGAACGTACCACTTCAGGTTTGAGCTGTTTCTGTTTAGTTTTCTTATCTGGTAAGCTTCCAGCTTTTCTGTAAATGGAGTTGCACAAGTTCCAGGATGGGCTTTATTTTAATGAAATGGACTGCTAGGTATGGACATGTATCTAGGCAGGTAGGTAAGGGTAGGGTAATAGCTGCTAGGTATGGACATGTATCTAGGCAGGTAGGTAAGGGTAGGGTAAAAGCTGTGACAGTCATTAATGCTGTGATTTCTCCTCCCCAGGACCACCATCCTCCCCCAGCCGGACAAGCTGAAAATCTTCATGGATGCCTTCACAGCCTTCCACAACAAGTTCCTGAAGGAGTATGCCGACTAACCCCCTTCACAGCCTCCCACAAGTTCATCCAGGACCATGCTAACCCCTTTCACAGCCTCCCACATGTCCACGCCAACTAACAACACAGTATCTGCACTTATTGAACCACAAAATCTACGCTGAGAAATACTCGGATAAAGAACCTCAGGGCTTTCCGCTGAGAACGATGAACTCATGACAAAGCTTCTTTTTAAATAATTATAGACCATACAGATGAAGGGATCAGGCCATAGATAGAACTGTGGAGTATTATATTAAATCATTATGAACTGATGGTGAGTGTGGTGTTGAGGGTGACCATGAAGCTCAACTTGACAAGAGGTCAAGATGAAGTGTGTGTTGGTTTTACATGAAAATGTAAAATTAATGCAAAGTGTAAAAAAGGCTCAAATTGTGTAGGTTTGGCAAAGCAAGTTTTTGAGAAGTTTCTGTTTTAAATTTAGCACTATTGTGATGATTGTACAGAATGCTTCTTGTGATCTCATATTGCTCAGTCTGACTGACAGTGTATGAACAATTATTCTGTCTGGACCTAAATTTACAATCTGTACAGCAGGCACATTTGTACACGTGGGTAAAGCACATTCTGCTTGCAAGGTTATCAGTCTGTAGGTAGGTAAAACTTAGCCTGTCTAGCAGTACATGTGTACATTTACATGGACACAATATACATTGTGTATGCATACTGTGTACTTATACTGTGTACATATACTGTGTACGTATACTGTGTACTACGTATATACTGTACATTGTGTACGTGTACTGAAAACCTGTGATTTTTACCAGTCTTTCCAGATGAGGGCTCTCCATCTTTTACCTACCAGATTTGCAAAAACAATGTGACTTTTAAGCCAAATATCAATGATGTCAGTAACTAGCAAAGTTTGTGTTGCTATCATGGTGACTTGTCTAAATGCACATCAGCCAGCAGCCTTGTTTCTTCCTGTTGCACATTTATAAAAAAAACTCCCATATCAATGGCTTCTACTTTTGTAAATTTGTGAATCTGTAGCAGCAGTGTAGAAGACACATTTGTCTAAAATCAGTAGAGCAGCAGAAAAGGAAATAGTTGCTCTGTGCTGTATGGGCACAGGAAGTAGCAGAAATTGTACAGGTGTAAGGATGTCAATGTAAGGAAATTTCTGTCAGTTCTAAATAACTGCAAGTGTGAACGTCATGTACACAATTATAGCAAATGGTAATAGATAAACCAGCTCAGTATCAAAGCGGTTGAAGTACAGCGCAATAGGCTCCGCCCCAGAGGAGTTGCCAAAATCCATATCAGTGTAACTGCATGTTTTAGTCTCTGCACTGTCTGGTGTGGACTATTCCATCCTAACAGCAAGAGGGGTGGTTAGGAATAAGTTTCTCCCTTCATTTAAGTTAGTATGAGCTCCCAATGGAGTAAAACGGTAAAAGTACAGAAATCATTTTTAGCCATTTCATAGTTGAAAGTTATACCCTTTGCCTCCTCCTGTGAGTTGGAATGGAATAGTCCTGTGTAACTATGCAGGTATGAAGTATTACGTTGTGATTTTCTGGTGGCAAAATTTTTACGCGCTTGCGAGAAACGGGTGATCAATAAAGACCAAATGAAGAAAGGGAGACGTCGAGGGATGTTGTGCTTCTTGAGTTGCCATGGTAACAATAGAAAGGAATTTCTATGACAACTTCCTAAATAGGTGTAAGCTTCCATGTAAAGGAAAAAAATCTGGATCAAGATCAATTTTGATTTTATTCCACTGATGTAATAGTTAATGTCAAATCTATAGCTCAGACAGTTTTTCAAAAAATTTTAAAGTCTAATTTCCTGCTGGGTGCCTCAGACAGAACTGAAATGTTCACATGTTCACTTCAGGCTGCAAACTCCCTTCATATGTTCAGCTCCTTGCTTGAGAAAGTTAATAAAACATCACACTCCACTGAGTCAAGCACAAGTTCACAACTACAGAACTGACACCAGTACTAGTGTGAAAGTGTGGCTTTGCTGTTACAGTCAGTCCTACAGAACTGATCAGTAATGTACCCACCATCCACCTGCTCCAGCCTGCTGGGGTGCATGGTAGGACCTGCTGACAGGACAGCATACGTGTACATAACAACTAACACATTCTTATTGCATTTACTTTTGTAGGTACATGTACATTTGTATTGCACAGAGCATGTAAAATATTATGTATTTAAAAATACATTTCTTGACAGAATATGCATCAGGTGTAACAAAGATAATTACATAATGTCTTCACCAATCAATTGTATCAGTGAGTCCAGGGGCATTTGTAAGGCTTTGATTCCGGTCCCTTCAAGCACCTGCCCAGCTTCTCACATCCTGGTGGTGCCCAGTTCTGAGTAGCAGGAAAAAGAAAAAACACAGAATTTACCATGTGCAGGCTGGTTATCATAATTCACACATTATTCATAATAAAAAATATTAATTGTTAAGTCCACTTTCTTGTCACAGTGACACAGTTGTTACACACTTTGAAGCAGTTTCAGTGGAATACGTTGGTACAAACCTTCGGACTCACCATAACAGCAGAGTTTGGGTAGAATACATTAGCACACAGGACTCACCATGACAGCAGAGTTTGGGTAGAATACATTAGCACACAGGACTCACCATAACAGCAGAGTTTGGGTAGAATACATTAGCACACAGGACTCACCATGACAGCAGAGTTTGGGTAGAATACATTAGCACACAGGACTCACCATGACAGCAGAGTTTGGGTAGAATACATTAGCACACAGGACTCACCATGACAGCAGAGTCACACAAGTTGAACTGTACTCACCATAACAGCAGAGTCACATATGTTGAACTGAGGTTCTCCCGGCACCAGCCCTGCTCGATGAACGGCCACCAGCTCTTTCAGTTTCTGCATCGTCTGCTTGTACTCCGAGGACTTGGGTCTGTGGACAGGCGGTCACACAATACATTAACTCACAGTAACTCTACTTTCTTTTCATTTTGAGGCAGCCTCCTTCAACTACCTGAAAATTGTGCTGCTTTTTTGTGGCTAATACGAGATGGGGTTCGCCAAGCCTACATCCAGAAGAGTAATGTTGAGTGCCTTTCCCAAGAGCACAAGATCGGTGACATGGCAGGATTCGAACCCAGGACCTCTTGGTTCCGAGCCGAACGCTCTGCCGTTACGCCACACAATCCCACCAGAGGTCTGAGCACAGCATCGTTCTGCAAGACAGTAAATGACATTGCGATTGACAGCTAAACACTAATAGATGTAATACTGTCCTTACTTGATGCTGTACCTGCCCAGTGTGAGTGTGAATTGTGCTGTCCTTACTTGATGCTGTACCTCTCGCCAGGGTCGCGCCCCAGGTGGAACAGCAGAGGGCTGTCCGTGTGGTTGACCTGCTGCACCGTCGTGACCCCGGGAACGTCCTCCCCGCGGCAGAAGTCGATTCCCTGCACAGAACAGCCAGCAATTCAATTCTTGTGCTGTTTCAGAAGCATCTGTGGCATTCCTTAGCCTAGCCTTGGTACCAAACCTTAAGTCGGCTTGGTGGTAATTTTTCAGCCCCGGCCTTTCCCAAGCACAAGTGAGCTATACCATGGACCTATCCCGAACTGATTTCCCTGTATCCGCTGACTTCCTGTATTACGCTTAGTCTTCTGTTGAGGGAAGAAACCTAATCCCCTATCCGAAGTGCAGTACTTGATGCCTGGTTGGCGGCCTGAAACACTCTCGGCGCCGAAGAGTAGCGCTGAGCTCACAGCAGTCTGGATACCCAGGCTATCCTTAGCCCAACCTTCAGCGTTATAATCAAATGTTGGTTTAATGTCCCGGCATTTTCACTGTTGTTCATCCACACTAAACTTTCAGAAGATATTTTCAAACTAACCAAAGAGACTGACAGCTATGAACAGGTTCTTCTGTTAGGTGAAAATTTTCTGCATACTCCTCTGCAGCTCGCTACCATCAGCTCATTGCCACGGTAACCATACATGTAACCATGGTAACCAGGGTTACCTTGGAGCGCTCGTCCTCCCCGTTGGTCCATGTCCAGAAGTGAGCCTTGTACAGACCGTACCTCACCGCCATCAGCTCGTTGCCACGGTAATAGAACACCGGCCTGGGGAAACAGAGGTCGGGCATGTTCTGTAACATGGCTACTGGATATCAGGTTACTTCTGTGCTGTTGGCTGGTTCAAAGTCTAGGGTAGGGAATCCCCCCTTGTGGATGTATAAACTTAAGTTACCATCTCTGAGAGGAATTTTTCATGTCAACTCACTGAATCGCTGCCAGCTTTTGGGGGGAATTATTTACAAATGTACTACCATCAAGATCAAGTTTATTTCATTCCACTTTAAATGAAGCCTGGGTTTGACCCCACCTGTTGACCTCTGTGCCATTCAGGAGGGTGGGGAGGAGGGAGATTCCATCATACAGCCTGTCGGAGGGGGGGACAGCCCCTGCCAACTCCGCGGCTGTGGTGAACAGGTCCATCACTGTGCCCAGCTGGTGGCTGATCTGCAAGGTGGGAAGATGTGAGGGGAAACTTATCCTTCATCACCAAGGATTTACATGTAGTTCTAATAGGTGCTAAAATATAGAATAACACGCCATGGAATTACAATGAGCAAGAACTGGTAAGAATTTCCCTGCCTGCCCCGGCTGAATCCTGGAGGGCCACCAGGCGACGGCCGGCTCCCGCATTCCTCCCTCAAACGTCGTCTGTTTCCCACACAGAAACGGGCCGTTACTTCCACCTGACGGCAAACAAACGCACAGAAATGGGCCGTTACTTCCACCTGACGGCAAACAAACGACGAGTATTGTAACAGTTGTGTTGATATGTGATGTACAGCAAGCAAACTAACGTGTGACCTTGAGTTCTGGGTACTGACCTTGAGTTCAGGACACTGACCTTGAGTTCTGGACACCATGGCTGCCCCATTGTCGGAGGTGAAGAACACCAGCGTGTTCGTGTCCAGTCCGCGCTCCCGTAGCCTCCCCAGGATCCGCCCAACACCGTCATCCAGCTCTCTCACTGCATCCCCGTAGCTGCAAAAGCAAAGGAACCGAGGGTTTGCATCATTCAGCAGCTTGTTTTCAGTAAAGAATTTGCCACAAGAGAACAACTAGAGATCAAGTACTTACAGGCCCCTGCGGCTGGAGCCCAGGAATCCCCGAGACGCGTACAGCGGCCCGTGCGTGGCGTCGGGAGCCCAGTACAGGAAGAACGGCCGTCCCGCCGCGGCCTGGCGGTCGATGAAGTCCAGCGCCGACCGCACGTACAGCTGCGTCAGGTTCGACTCCCCGCTCGACCGGCTGATCTCAAAGTCTTCGTAATACCTGCCGGGGAAACAGCAGGCTCCAGGAACAGCAAGATCACCTGGCAATCATGTACTAAGATTCATGGAGCTATCATGACCTCACCTCACCTCACTGGTCCCTGCATGGCTATCATGACAACCAGTTGTTATTAACACTTCAGGGCATCACAGCCAATTCTTAAAGTTCCACCAGGCAGCGTCACTTTTTGGACATACGAAACCAAAGAACAAACACAGTTTCAACCATGGATAAATCAACTGAATGAATCTGAATTTTTCACGTACCTCCCCACCATGTGTGACCCATTGTAGACAGGTATGTTGGGTGTGTCCTTGTTGTTATAGGGACCGAAGTGACAGTTTGGAGCCCCGAACCACTCGTGGAAGCCGTGCCTGAGGGGCAGGTACTGCGGGCGGTGGCCAAGGTGCCTGCAGAAAGGAAACTGTTTCACCATTAAACAATCACAGATTTATGGAAATCTTGCACAAGGACAAACTACGATCCTGACAAATGAATGACCAGCTCTGTCAGGAAGAATAACTGTTTAAAGCGTTTTCACCATTTTCCGATGATTTTATTCCTGTAGCCTGCCTGTGCCAGCAGCTCGGAAATCAGGACCTCAGAGTCAGCAATTCCTCCTACAATCTCCTGGGGGGTGTAGCCTGTAAAGGTAACAGCAGTCAGCACAAGCTGGGGGTGTAAACTGCAAAAGTAACAGCTGTCAATCAGGTGAAAAGTAGGCAGTGATCAGTGGCAGTGATAACCTACTACTGTACATGTACATAATGAGAGAGGCCTTACCGTTCCTGGCATGGTCATTGGTGGTGTAAAACCCGTTCCTGATGGGCAGTCTTCCTGTCATCAGAGCTGCTCGGGCTGGAGAGGAACAAGGACAGGTCATGACCTTCAGAAACAAGGACAGGTTACGACCTTCAGAAGCAAGGACAGGTCACGACCTTCAGAAGCAAGGACAGGTCACGACCTTCAGAAACAAGGACAGGTCACAACCTTCAGAAGCAAAAGCAGGTTACAACCTTCAGAAACAAGGACAGGTCACGACCTTCAGAAACAAGGACAGGTCACAACCTTCAGAAACAAGGACAGGTCACGACCTTCAGAAACAAGGACAGGTCACGACCTTCAGAAAAAAGGACAGGTCACGACCTTCAGAAACAAGAACAGGTCACAACCTTCAGAAATAAGGACAGATCACGACCTTCATGACCTTCAGAAAGGACGGACAGCTCGTGACTTTTGGAAACAAGAAACTTTTCAAAAACCCAAAAAAACAAGGACCTGTCACATTCAGAAACAAGGCACTTTAACGGAGAACAGCAAACATGATAAACGTTAATTACACCATCCTTACACGGCGAGCAGAGCGGGTTTGCCGTGTAGAAGTCCGTCAGCAGCATCCCTTCTGCCGCCATCTTGTCCAGCTGCGGCGTCTCCTTCTCCGGCTGGCCCAGGATCCCAAGGTCACCCCAACCCATCTGTAACATACAGGACAAACCAACATATCTGCAACAGGAACCAGTACATTTGCTGTGAACACTGCTGAGCCATAAATATAAAGACCATCACCCAATAAAAACTGTATCATGTTATTGGATACGGCAACACCCAACCCAACTCTTCCTTGGACACACCAGTTTTGCTAGCCTCTACCAGGCACCGCGGATTGCTGGAAAAATAGCAGAAATTGGCCGAAATAAAGAGTATACCAGAGAAGATCCAGGGCCATAGAAGCTCCAATTTAGCGATCCGCAGTGCCTGGTAGAGGCTACAGTTTTGCAGCCTCTTTGGGATTTTGCTGACGTTTAATGACTCCTTATAAAACATCAAAGGTGCGCCGGTCAGTTTTCAAGTTGTTTGCCAAATTTATGACCCATGCAAATTAGTTTAGTGCAGGAATGACGTCTGTTTACTGTTCCACATTTTAGTTGATGCTATGCAGTCTCTGAAAATAGCTTTTTACTTGCAAATTCCTTCCCACGGAAAACATGAATGACACAACGTACATTATATAAAAATTACATTGCATATTAACGTGGTCGATGTCAGTGCGCTCGTCTATATTAAAACATTGTTGGTAGAGGAAGCACTAGTTGAAAGTCCCGCCCTTTCCGGCCAGTATTAAACTTTAGAGTCCCGCCAACTTTCCTGCACATCAGCCGGCAGCATGAATGAAACAACGTAACGGACGTTACATTGTATATATAAATGGGGCCGGCTGTCAGTGTGCGAGTCCATAAAAACAATAACATTGTTGGCAGAGGAAGCAGCTAGTTGACAGCCCCGCCCCTTTAAATGAGACTCCTTTAAAATTTCCGGCCGGGTTTAAACTTTAATTTAAACTTTAAAGTCCCGCCAATTTTTCCCCCGGCCGTGACGACCGTTACTTACGTCGTCCATGAGCATGATGATGATATTAGGCGGGGAAGTCGACACAGCTGCCCTGACGTCTGCACACAAACACAACAGCAACACGGCAAACAGCACAAATACTCCCGCCATCTTGGGGACGACCTTTGACCTCGAAGTGGGCTATTCCATGTGCCAAACGGGGGTGTTAGTTCACAGTTGAGCTGAGTCAAGCACTGCATCTGCAGACGTTTCTCTTTATGAAATGAACTGTATAGGTTTGTACAAAACCTATTTCCCTATTTCATGCACTTAAGTACTGTAGAAAAGTTTACATTCCTAATGCAACATCCAGGATTACCTGAAAAGCAGGCCAAAATGGCCTGAGCTGTAATTACTGGTTAAATAAATGAAGTGAAATTGAAGTGAAACTAGACAAACCATCCATCGAAAAACATATCTGTTCCTTTATTTCTACAAAATAGTACAATAACTGAAAAGCGAGAAGTTGAATTTACATAACGATAGTTACTAGTAACGTTACATGTAGTTACTTTTGTATCCAGTGTTCTGTATTCATTCATCTTGTTTTGTTGTGACCTGTACTTAGCCAAGTGTGGCAAACGTGCAATCAAGATTTTCATTTATCCAAGAGCCTTTTGATGTAAAATTCCTCTGCATTTTTTCTGTGCTCGTCTTCATGCAGTATCCCTTTGATCCCTACTTGACTAAAATGTTTGTGTTCAGGCTGGTTAGTGTCCAGGTAGGTTAGTATTTACCTGCCCGTGTTCACCTGTACTGGGTTTACCTTTCTCCTGTCTGCCTCCTTCAGAAAACTACACAACCACAAACACCAAGACTCAAACATGTAACATTACACTTTATTACAAAAAGGCTTGTAGAACTAAAAATGAACAGAAGACGACATATTTATCACAGCACATTCAGAATGAGATATTTCGTGATGGACTTAACTAAGAAATAATGCATACATTCCTCTCTGTAATTCCTGATTTTTTCACAAATCATTGCCATTATCAAATCATTTGTATTTCGTCCCCCTCTCTGCACTTGCAGCCACCATGATATGAACATATCCATTTTCTTCATAGATTGTGAAATTTTGCTAACCAGAAAGATAGAGTAAATTACAGTACAAAAATCTCTTACTAGAAACGTTCACATATTGTCTTGTTCCGTGCTCCAGATCTACCAGACCACAGATATGTAGCTGTGAATGTGATATATATATACAGACACTAAGGATGTTCAGGAGAACAGCATCAGCTGCAGTTGATGTTTGTGGGTTTGTTTGTTTGTTTGTTTGTCCGTGCTCAGAAGTCGGGTTTCTCGGGCGGCGGCCCACACGGCTGCAGCATTCTCTCCATCAGGTTGAACTTGACCCTGGCCTTGGTCTCGTTCTCGGCGATGGCGAAGTAGTTCAGCATGTCGAAGTGTCCCATGTAGCAGGCATTACTGTCCCGGTGCTGGGGGGAAACAGGTACAGTTTTAGTGACTACAGAAGTGTCCCATGTAGCAGGCATTACTGTCCCGGTACTCTCCAAGCAGAGGTTGGTGGGGAAAATTGTGACAAAACCAGGCGCATGATAAAGAATGTCACAATTTTCCCCACCAACCTCTGCTTGGAGAGTACTGTCCCTGTGCTGTAATTAACACAGATTTGATCAGAGCCAAAATTGTTCCATGTTTTATGTAGATCGGAATTAGCCCAGAGGTGAAACATAACTATTAAGTTATTTGAGAGAAAGAAATTATGTGAGGACAACATTTGGGTTCCGACATGACAGGAGCTGAAATACTCCATGTTCTCACCAAGGACATTCTACATAATTTACACTGCATCTCACAAAGGTTCTGTGGAGGGCAGCAGTCTGGGTGGTCTGGGGGCTCGGAACAAAGGGTTTACGCGACAC